TGATTTGTTTTCCGTTTTTAGTTATTGTTTATATGACGTTGATTTAGGATTAATTATTTAAATTACCGAAAAATGAATTACCTTGGTTCAAAACCAGTAAAACGGTTTTTAACTAAGGTAATTCTTTTTTTTTTTTTTTTTTTTTTTTTTTGTTTAATGTTCATATTAACAAAACAACGCACAGTAGGCCAGGTGGTGGACAAAACCTCAAAAATAAAAATTAGTGGCCTTCTCGGCTTTGAGGAGGTGAATAACAAAAAAAATTAATAAAACATAGTCTATTGTCTTATTAAAAAATTTATTTGATTAACGTAAAATTGCCTAAGATCGGTCACTTAAGCTTTGAACATTTATTTATCACGCATAAATATAAAGTTTTTTATTTTTTTTTTCCTGAAACATACAGAAAATTATATTGATAATTGATATTGTAAAAATAAAAAAATAAAAACTAGTACTCAATATTTCATTTAAAATGAAAACATCTACTTTGACCGAACTTTGAATACCTTCTCATAAGTTCGGCCACTATATAAATACTAATATCGTATCACAAACTTAACGTCACAAATAATGAAAACTATTTTTTAAATGTTTCTTTATTGTAAAATTACGATATAAGTTCAGGTAATACCAGTAACTAAGGAGGGCGTCGGCCCGGGCTTTAAAAAAAAAGTCTTTTGGGGCATCAAATAAAACAAGAAGGAGCACATAAAAAAATGCCTTTTTTAAATTTAAGTAGAAGTATTTAAAATTTTTATTATAATTAGTCAACTGTTTTATTAATCACATTTGCTACGTCACCGGTTAATACAATTAAAAATATTTTTTTTTGTTAATTTAAAAAGATTTTTTGCAATTAACTAAAAAACACTACTTTGCTTTAAACGAGCTTTGTATATTTACTGGCAATTCTTGCACGTATTGTTGATCATAGCAGAACAGCAAGATCCACACAAACAATCGTCACAGGGTTCGCATCGCATCCATAATTGTCGTTGAGTATTAATTTTACCTCCCAAAAAAATGTCACAAGCTTGTTATTTTTTAGAACTCAAAGAACCGTCGAAATTATGAACAAATTTTTTATTTAAATAAAATAACATGGTGTGTATCGATTGATACGTATCAGATTGATAAAAATACATTGATATAATATTGATACATTAATATAGTATTAATGCAAACTTTAATATAAATTCTAATATAATAACTATTATATATATATATATATATATATATATATATATATATATATATATATATATATATATATATATATATATATATATATATATATATATATATATATATATATTCATATATATATATATATATATACACACACACATATATATTCATTTTTTATATACTTTAATACCTAAAAAAAAGGAAATCAAAGAAGATTCAGCATTTTTGGGAAATAAAATCGCAAAATTAATTTTTTCGCAGATTCCCTTAATAGCGCCATTTTGCGTATATCTATGTCTAAATAAAAAGTTAATTAAGTAAACTTAGAAATCTTTTTTTTTTTGTAATTAGCTTTGTAATTACTATTTCTACTGTTATATATATATATATATATATATATATATATATATATATATATATATATATATATATATATATATATATATATATATATATATATATATATATATATATATATATATAAAATACTTTTTATAATTTTTTTTCAAAATTTATTACAATCATTTTTACAAACTAAGAATATGTCGCTTTGCTTGCTCTTTAAACAACGATATTCCATTTAAGTCTTTTAATTTTGGGTTTTTCAAGTTTTTCCTAATTTTGGGACCCTGTGACATAATTAAAAATTCAGAACCCCGGGTTTTAGTTTTTTTAATATAATAGTTATGGAAGCTATTTCATCGCAGATTATAACTTTGAGAAAATGATGACGAAAATATGTCTAAAAAAGAATTTGGTAGCATATTATTTTTATATTTGAACATTAAAGTATAAATCTGATATAAATTAAGTTTTTCCAAGTTTAAGAATTTCATATTTGTCATCGCATTGGAAGGATTGTCCATTCTACCTAGATAATGAATTGCTTTACAAGCATGGTTTTGCTAGCATTCAAGTTTGATTAATTTTGTTTTGTTTGACTTAGCCCACACTATATTAGCATATGTGAGATGACTGAGAATTAGACTAAAGTAAAGTTTTTTTCTTGAACAGAAATAAAGAAACGGGCGATATCTTTATATTTAGTAATATTTCACAATATTACTGCTAATTGTCTCCTTCGTTGTTTATCCATGAATGACCGAAGTTAAAGTTTCTAAAAATTTCACTAATTTTATTAAAAAAAGTAGTTAATTTATAAAAATTAATATTTTTTTTTTTTGTAAATATAATTATTTTGGTGATTCTTAATAATGCTAAGATTAAATATAATCATTTGTTTTAATAGTTTGCTTTTTTTAGATTTTAACAGTATGCATTTTTTCAAATTGATGTTTTCCTAAAGATTTATTTCTGCAGGTTGCATATAAATATTATTAATTTTTTTATAGATTCATATTTACGAACTAATTACAAATATTATTTGAGAAAAAAAAGTTTGTAAAATTTGAGTTTTGCATGCTTTTTTTATATTTTTTCTTAAATGACCGAAGTTACATGGTGACCGAACTTAGGCGGTTTTACGGTATAATAGTATCTTTCTAAACCACAAAAATCAATTGCGGTTCCATGTATAATAAATTATTTTATTTTTACAAAAAAGTAAACTTTTTTCATTTTTATGCTTAACTTTAGTAAACAGTAAACAATAAAAAAAGTTTAGTAAACTTAAAAAAAAATACATTTTTGTACAATTATTTTTTGCATTTTAACTATTTAATAATACAATTTTACAAAAATAATATAAACGATAGATCAACATTTATAACACATTTATAAACTGGCTTTATAATAACGAGGTAAGTTTATAAACTTTAACACTTTTATTTTGTTAAGTGTCAGATAAGATAATCTACGAGAACCTATATCAAGTACTTGAACAAGTAAATGCAACACGTCTATAACCTATTAGAATTATATGCATCGCCCCTAATTTCCTCTTTTAAGTTTATTTGACATAAAAGTACAAGTTTCAAGTCGTATTATTCGCTTGAAATCGAAGTACTTGTTTAAAACGTCATGTTTTTTATTCACCCAAACAAAAATACATGTTATTTTTTCACCATTACAGTTCAACGCACATTGTACTGTTTAAACAATACTTTTTTTGTTTTTTATTTTAGTTATAACATGAAAATTGGTGAGATTCACACATTTATAAGACAAACCAAACTAGCTCCTAATGATAAATCATTTTTTTCATCAGTATTAGCTTACCTAATTTCAGTAGATATTAAGTGAAAAGATTGTGAGTGTAAAAACTTTAAAAAAAAGTGGATAAAAGTTTTTCGTAAAAAGTGGATAGCTGCAAACAATGATATTCATTTTAAGATAAACAATGAAAATTGGCTAGCTCAAGATTTTCAGTACATTACGTACATTACAGGTTAGCCATAATGAAAACATTGAAAGAAATCTAAAGAATGAAGAGTGTTTATTTATTACTTGCATAGTACCATTAGAACTGAGTGGATTTTATAATTAAAAAAAATGTAGTAATGTGGAGAAACAAAAAGCCATTATCGACTTTATATTGTCGACCAGTTAGATTTTCGTTTCAAAAGGAAACCAAGAATGTTGTGAAAAAAGGAAAAAAAGCTTTCGATTCCGAAATTAAGAAATGTGATACTATTAACATTATTTTTGCAGGGAAAAAAATAGCTGTAAATTGCTTTAATGAGCTGACTATGACATTCAATCAATTATATCAACTATGACAAACTCAACACAGTGTTGTCCAGTTTGTGGTATATCTCTTAAAATCATGAACAACTTGGAGAAAAGATACAAACCAAGATTTGATTAATAGGCTTCTTGTATCTAGTGATACGGTTATAACATCTTATAGGAAACTAAAGTTAAGTAACAATCAAAGTTTACATAAATTTTTCAGTGAAGCTCTAGAATTGGTGAGAGAATCAGCTCCGTAACTTGATGATTTTTAATATATAAATTAGTCCAAGCTTTGTTTTCTTTTTTCGTCGCGTTTTTTAAATCATTTTTTGTATAAAAAACTTAAAACAATGATATTAAACATAATACTTTAGACTAGATCATAATTAATCTATAGACTTTACATATCATCATAAAATACCTTTAAATTTAAAACGTCATAAGCGTTTTTTGAAAACTTGAACAACTCAAATATAAAAAAGTTATAAAAAATTTTTAAAGTTTTTTTAATTATTTTCTGTTTATGCAATATTTTAACTAAAATTTATAATAAAAATAAAAGTTTCTTAACTTAAGTTAATTATTTAGACATATAAAGATCTTTAACAAAAAAGAAAAATATGAAAATAATTTTGTTCACCATAAGTCTAATACCCGGCCCAGTGTGCACCGTCAGAAAATAGCTTTTATCTAAAAAGACAAAAAGACATATCAATGCTAAAGTTTGTCTGCAACAGTTGTGATTTACCTGATTCTGCGTGATTATGTTTTTACTTCGCTCTCTGTCGATGCTTTGCAAATGATCATCTTATTTAGTCAAATACTTTGACTTATAACTAAAAATAACCAGAGCCGTGGCTAAGATCGCCCCCCCCCTTCACACCTCTATGGGGGGAGGGGGGAGGAACAGCATTTTTAGGGGCCGTTTTCAAAAGTTACAAACTTTTTTAATGTATTTTTTATAATTAAAATATTTAAATATTTATATTGATATTGTTACTAATAATAAAAAAAATTTGGCACTTAATCACGGTATTAACTAAACTATGCAAGTGGAAAAAAAGGTAAAAAAAGCAATAATATTTTTAATGCAAAAAAATTATTGTTTAGCACTCCCGAAGCTCGAACTTTCCCGAAACGCAAACTTAATAAAAGTCGTTAATGAGAAACCATTG